AGTAATATATTAGATATATATCAATGATATTTAGTGATTATTACCTTCTACTAATTAATTGATACATTAAAATGAAATTAGATTTACTAATTCTTGAAATATATTGATATTGTCCGCTTTGGGCATAGCCCACACGGCTTTGCTTTTGGTTTCATTCAAAAGGGCTCTTGTTCTCTCTTATATACCATGAATCACCCATTTTCCTAACCAATGTGAGACTTTTGTTTGCACTCTTTACAAACCCAACAGAATCTACTCTTATTTCTAATACCTTTAAACAAAAAATAAAATAGTTGAAGAGTTTAAAATTACAACGAGTGCGGTGTGGATTATAACAATATTCAACTAGTTCTAAAACCAATTGATGATTATAAAAGTAATTCAAATCTTGTTGAATTTTTTGATGATTTTCGAGATAGATTCTTAACCTATTAAAAAAGCTATATGAAACCTAAATTAAATGTTTGAGAATAGTACTCGAGAGGGGTTTGCATGTGCACGTGTCTAGTTGAGTTCTGATGATTGACTACCATTTATAGAGATGAGCATATGATTATGAGACAAAGAATTAGATATGTGTGAAAGGATTTGCTTAAAAATTTGTCTATGAATTAAATTAATCATGGGAATGGCTAGGTTAAGTAGAGTTGGTTAGTCGTCGGCTTTTTCAACTAAATTTCGGATGTGCCGAAAGATGAACGGGATATGCATCGTTGCAACAAGATTTCGTTACATTGATTTATTAGATTTTTGACGGATGAGAGAGAGAAATGTAATAAAAATATATWTTTTTTTCTATTTTTCTAAAATAACGAGTTATCAATTTTATTTTAATAATTGTTAGTGGTTAATATGAAATAAGTTTTCGACTCGTCCACATTTAGACCTTTTTCCCTACATGAATTTCATGCCCCCAACAAATAAAAAAATGTGTTAATTAATGTTATCAATTACTCTTTAGTAATTATTGGAAACAATCTCTTCCGAAAAAAGAAATCCTAAAGTTACTGTGCAGATTGTTGCGGCAAGAAAAATTCACTCTTTTGGAAAAGAAACTGAGAGTTGTGATCGACAAAATGGTTCCGTCTCTTACAATATATTTTTTATTGCATTCTGAAGGAAAAGAAAGAGGATAAATAATAAAATATATATAAATATAGATGGCAAGAAATAATAGTTGCATTAAAAAAAGTTTTGAAAAGTTAGAAGAAAAAGGGAAAGGCTAAATATAATTGCCCTCACTTTATTTTTTCCTTGGTCTCAGACAAAGTTGCTTGAGATGACACTGACACTGACACACACAGGGTTTCAATTTTTTTTAGTTGCTCTTTTCGTCTTCTTGTCCATAATCAAGAAGATCCTCCAGCACTTTATCATCCAAGTACTCAAATTCGATCACTTCATTATTCTGCCGCATTGACATGGAAGAAGAAGACGCAGTACCGGAAGAAGAAAATCCTCCGCCGCCGCCGCCGCCGGTGCTGGTGAGAGGGTATTCATTGGGGAAGTTTAGAATGGCCAAATGACCCCTCATGCTGTACGCTGCTCGATCGTAAGCACGTGCGGCTTCTTCCGCCGTGTTGAATGTTCCRAGCCACATGCGTGCTCCTTGCCGTCTAGAGTCGCGAATCTCCGCCGCGAATTTCCCCCACGGCCGCTGCCGGACCCCCCGGTAGCGGACCTCTCGCCCGGCTCCGGCAGCCGCGGAATCATCCACGTAGCCCCTTCCACGCCCGCTTTYGTCCATATGGGTGTTAAAATTTAGTTGGGTTTTTGCATGGGGAGGAAACGTTACATGGTTTTGATTATATATATACATTATGCGTATTTGTATTTGGTCCACCTTGTCAAAAAAGAGTGGCCAATTGCAAAGTTAAAATCCCCCTCCCGAATTTCCCACGTGGATTCGACTTCTTCCAAATTCCACCCCCTTTAATTTCCTAGTGTGTCAATATCATCAAAGAACTTAATTATTACACAACAGGACACTGAAACCAAATTCAAATTCATCCACACAATTATTTCGTTAATCGATGACGATTTAATATATATTCGGGTTTGGATGTATTCTGGCTTGGGAAAATTATGTTACGTTTGATTGTAATTATATAAAAAGGGTTCGAGTTCAATTATTTTTATCCACAATCTCCACGTATGAAAGCAATGGATTTACAGTCCAATGCATCTGGATGCTTTGTTCAATGTGGTGGTGGCTAAGAAATGCTTTCAGTCATTCTCTTTCTTATGAATATTGGAGTTGTTTTGATGTTAAAAGCTGGGATTCGCAACTCGCAACCCCAATAACAAACAAAATAATAAAAAAAAAAATTGGTGGCTTTCTCTCCAATCCCATGTCGCATCAACATTTCCCTCGGCCACTCTCTATATCTTCCCAAATACATATATACACAGAATTGATCAACCCTTTTTGAAGAAGACGATGATAAATGGATGGTCCATAGTGCCACACAAAGTGGGAAATCACGGAATTGGATGTTGGGTTGGTCAAAATTTTAAATTTTGCAGAGCTTTCAAGTTCAAATAATGAGGGGGAAATTTGATGAATGATTAGCAGTTGAACTTGGTTGAACATGGGAGTGGGATTCTCTCTCTCTCTTTTTTTTTTTTGCTTTTTTTCTTTTCGGGATAGGTGAGTGGGGATTCTTAAAAAGAATGCATCATAAACCGACAAATTAAAGTTTGGCTACATGATTGAAAAACACAACCCAATTACGAGAATGACTTGGTCTTTTTAACCCACAAGCAGACCTTAAAAACAACCCAAAATGCAACAAGAGAGGAAATAGATGACGAAAACTTGAAACGACGAAACAAATGTCTCTTGTTCTAGAAAGTGGGGAGAGCGACGTGTCGTTCGGCCGGTGAAGAACTAAGAAGGCCCATGAATATAAGCAATCGTGGGCCGCTAGTTGACAAGATTGACTGCCTTTTATTATTATTATTATTATAATTCTCCTAAACCGACCTTTCCCAATTTCAATTTTCCATCTTGACCTGGTCAACGGCGTTGACCGCTTTTGTCCAGTTGGATCCTCCCCCACTTGGGATTTCAGAACGTAGCACCACGTGACACCCTGCCAACCTGATTTCCTCGATTCACCGCCACGTGTACATGTTCCAAAATTCACAAAAATCTGATGCATGAAAGGGAAAAAATAACTATGAATCCATACATTAGAATCGTAGCTCATAGATCTCTTCATTTTCAGAAAAAACAAAATTTTGATAGAGGGTAAAACCTATCACATGGAGTGTTTATTTCTTTTATACAGATCTTCCCTTTGCATAACTCGTCTCTTTCAACTCGTTTAGGTGAAGAAATGATCCACCTATGTGGCAGAATCTAGTATAAATAACTAATACATTAGAATCATAACTCATAAATTTCTTAGTTTCAAGAAAAAATAAATTTAGATGGATTAAACCATTTCTTTTGACCTTATCAGAAAAATATTGATTAATTTGATTGTAGTTCTATGATTCTTTAAATATCATATTCCTATTTAATCTATTTGAATTTCATATTCGAAATTGGAATGATGTACTAAAGAAATCAAAATTAAAACGGATCCAGCGATCACGTGATGCTGACGCCAACAGTGAAACGACACGTGTTTTAAGAAGGTGGGTTGTGGGAAAGATCCAGGTGAAAATGGATAAAACAAATATATTAATAAATAAATATATAATTGAGAATTTGAGAAGTGAGAGAGAGTTGAAATTTGGAATAGTAAATGTAATAAATTTTCCATTCAAGTTGGTGATGGGCTGAGACGTCTTTTTACCGAGCGAATGCAGCCACCTCCCCATGTGCCATTTTACCAATTATTTCCTTTTCCTCTGTTCTTTTCTATATCTCTTAAATTTCAGTGTAACAATGTAATTATATTTTTACTTTTCGTACTTTTTTCACTCTTAATTTTAATTCACTCTCTCAAGATTTTCATTACCATATTTATTGTTTTATTAAAGTTTGTCAAACATCTTTGTAACAAAAATTTAACAGTGTTAAATAATTTAACCCTTCAAAACAAGTAGCATAGATGTATGGGAACAAAATTAGTACCGAGTCATATTTACTTTTCAATCAAATTTATTAATATGTTAAATTCTGATATTTTAATCTATGAAATTGTCTAGATYCGGATGTCATGAAAATAAAATATCACATTATAAAGTGTACCTATTTMATCTACAAAATAATTTRCCATTTAAGATTTTTATCATTGATAAGTAACATTAGAGTTGTTTACTACGTTGCCAAATGAAACATTCTGCATACAACTATTTATCAAAATTTAGAAACTTTTTTTTATATAAACTTATCAAAATTTGGTATAATTTGTTAAAAGTAATTTTCCATTTTTCTTGTACAATGATATTTTTCCGTGCATAACMAAAGTTGAATTACAATTTTGGTTCTTTTAACTTTTAAAACTTATATCTAAAATATTTCTGAGCTTTCAATGYCATGCATATTAAATAGATGAATTTAACCAAAAAAATGTTTAATTCTACTTTTAACTTAATTCTGGTTTTATACCTAATGAATAATTATAGTTTTTATATTTAAGGAATCTAATCTATTAAATATTTTTTAAAATTTAAAGACGTATTAGGTAAAAGTTAAAAAATTCATTTGACATTTTCTTTATAGTTTAAAGATCTGCCAAATACTTAATTTAATGGTTAAAGACTTATTAAATACTTTATCGAGTGTGTCATTGAGTGTGATTTTAGCATGGTTAGAATTGCTTTCTCAAAATCACTACCATTTTAAAATATCATTTATGAYGGTAATTCTAAAGTGATTCCCACTTAATCATTTGAGAGGTATTCCTAATTGATTTTTTGTCCAAAAAAAAAWATATAATTAAATTTAAAATGGTTATTGTTTTTAAATTTCAAATTTATCTTTCATACTTTACCTTGCACCTTAAAATTGTTTTGAAGAATTCTATTTTTCTTATTTCTAACTCTCCAACTTTATTTATCTTTAATTTTGTTACTCTAATTTTTCTCTAAAATTTTGGTAATCTTTAAATTTTTAATTTCTATCTTAGTTTATTGATCTATCTAAAATTTTGTCTCTCACCCTCTAAGATTTTTGCTCCTATCTAAAACTTTTGTCAAATTCTTTAAACTTCAAATATTAATCACTYAAAACCACCTTTAATTATATAAAAAAAATACTTGAGRAGTAGATAACCAAACGTTAGAATAAGTATATAAAAATCACTTTCACAAAATCCATCGTCATTAATTTTTTTCTCTAAAATCACTAATTCTAAAATTATTTCCAAAAGACCTTGGATGAGGACAAAATTAACCAGTGATTTCACACATTAAAATCAAATATAAAATATTGGTTGGGATCGAAATTAGAGAGAATTATGGCTTGTGGTTTGAGGATCGGGCAAAAACAAAACCAAAAACATGCCCCAAACCAGACATTGTTGAAAGATGTTTATTTTTTTGAGGAAACGCAGACAATGATGTGAACAAAAAAGTTGAATTTTACTCATAAAGTTAGCAACTTTACTTTGTTAACTGACAGTTTTTTTGGCCCATAAAATGAAAAACAATTATTTAAAATAAATTAAAAAARAGAGAAGAAAAAAGAAGGCAAGGTTGGCAGAGGAGAGGGAGGGAGGAAGGACACGACACGACACGTAATTTGACATTAAATGGTTGTGTTGTGGAAATTGTCAACACACGAGCATGGACTGTGTCGGGTTTTACCTTCTATCTGCCCTTTCAAACTCAACTAATTTGGCTTTTGATCTAATGGGGTTGTAGTGTGAAATTAAATTTATTTAGTACGAGGTTTGCTTTTTGTTTTTCCATTTTCTAAAGTTCTAATTCTTATTCCTAGCCGTCCTCTTAAGATGATGTATTCAACTTCTCTCCTGCTTTTTCTTTTTCTTTTCTAAATACAACACATTTTTCTTTTTCTTTTTCTTTTTTTTTTAAATACAACAAATTAAGGACATGAGTATTTGAATATTCTACCTAAAAAAATAAGTAAAAATCAATTAACGCTGAATTATGTTCATTCATTGTCTATTTGCCTGTAGGCTCGTCTTTGTATTTAAATTTAAAGCAGGTAYGTTGAATCATTAAATTTTGGTTGAAAAGGCTTCCTAACTGGTGGCTAGTTCCATCCTTTATAATACATTATTAAATATTTAAGTTGCCTAGAAAAAATAACAGATATATTCTTTTTTAAATAGTAACCATTTATTCTCAACTACAACATGGAGTTAAGCTCAACAGTCCATTAATCAAGCTATTTAATAATTTTTTGGATGATCGATTCAAACTGGTGGTACTGTAATATTGTAAAAAGATTGTATKAATATGACATCTCAATTAATAATTTTGTCAATCAATTAGAAAATGAAACTTTTATTATTAATTTATTATATATGAAGTTTTTTAGTACAACATTATTATATAATATATGAAATTAATCATTATCAAATTATACCTGTTGTGTGTGTTTTTTTGCCCCCATAAAAACTGACTCAAAAAGTAATATGAAGACGTGGGCTTAAGAGAGTTGATGATGGCATTTTAAGACTGCAGGTGGGAATTGAGCCAATTTCGCCCATTGATTGATGATTGATTACAATATACTAAACAAACAACAATAAATAAGAGCGATTCAGAAGTCAAGCCTAAGCCTCCCTTTTAAATCATTATTCCCTCCAAATTTCCATCCCTTTTCTTTGACTTTTTTTTCTGCTCTGTTCTCTGTCATGTCATGCCCATAGGGGACTCCTCCAATGCAATCTTCTTCTCCACTTCTCTGCCTAAAAGTTTATATACTCTTTTTCATTTTTTCAAAATCCGCTACTAAMAATTTTGAAGATCAATTATTCAGAAAGTTATAAAAGATTTGATAACCAAACTCCAAGATTAACAATATTCTACCATTCAACACGTTCAAACTCAGAGATTTGATTAATAAACAAAACAAAACAAAAAAAAAAACTCACCAACTACAATGTACTGTCACACTGACTGTTCAGTTTCCCCTTTTTTTTAAGGGCCAAGTCCAGCTCATTTCCACTGAAAATTTTGAAGCTCTTATTCCCTTCCAAGTTTCCAAACTAACCTCATTTATTCCCACCTAGGTTTTCCCTTTTCTGGATTCCT